ATAGTACAAGAGTTTATTTATCACTACGTTTATATGATATTCTGGCAATTAACTATGATGTATAGTTTAACCATGAGATTTTCTTTCTTAATCCCGTTGAGTCAATATTTTTGTCACTCAAACTGTACGCTTCATGGTGATAATTGTGAAATGAGTCATGGTGAGTGGATGGAACAGTTGTACCATGGATGTGACACCATTATCCACTCTGACTGCTGTATCCCAGCAAGTGAGAACGTCTCATTGAATTACCCCAGTTCGAATATTTAGTGAGTCAATTATATACCACCAAAGGGGACATACCACTTGTTTAAAGTTACTGGGCAGTCCTAAGGTACTGAGGTCAGCAGGCTGGGTGTTACGTACTTTGAACAAGTGGTTAGAATCTAGGTCCCCGCCGGTGGTATATAATTTACGCACTAAATATTCGCACTGGGGTAATACAAGGAGACGTTCTCACTTGCTGGGATACAGCAGTCAGAGTGGGTAATGATCTCACATGAATGTTTGAGGGGAAAGTGTTTGGCAGTGTGTGTGAGTATGTAGGAGTGATTGTGAAAGTGTGTGGGAGAGTGTAGGAGTGTGTGATCGTGTACTGAACTGCGTGGGAATGAACAGAAGTGCGTGGGAAAGACGTCAACGATGCTTGGGAAAATGTGTTAGCGTGTGGGAATGTGTGTGTACTCACCTATTTGTACTCACCTATTTGTGGTTGCAGGGGTCGAGTCACAGCTCCTGGCCCCGCCTCTTCGCTGATTGCTACTAGGTCCTCTCTCTCCCTGCTCCATGAGCTCTATCATACCTCGCCTTAAAACTATGTATGGTTCCCGCCTCCACTACGTCACTTTCTAGGCTATTCCACGGCCTGACTACTCTATGACTGAAGAAATACTTCCTAATATCCCTTTGATTCATCTGAGTCTTCAACTTCCAATTGTGACCTCTTGTGTCTGTGTCCCTTCTCTGGAACATCCCGTCTTTGTCCCGTGTATATATGTGTGTGTGTGTGTGTGTGTGTGTGTGTGTGTGTGTACTCACCTGTTTGTACTCACCTATTTGTGGTTGCAGGGGTCGAGTCCTAGCTCCTGGCCCCGGCTCTTCACCGGTTGCTACTAGGCCCTCTGTCTCCCCGCTCCATGAGCTTTATCAAACCTCGTCTTAAAACTGTGTATGGTTCCTGCCTCCACTACGTCATTTTCTAGGCTATTCCACTGCCTTACAACTCTATGACTGAAGAAATACTTCCTACTATCTCTCTGACTCATTTGTGTCTTCAACTTCCAATTGTGGCCTCTTGTTTCTGTGTCCCCTCCCTGGAACATCCTGTCTTTGTCCACCTTGTCTATTCCACGCAGTATTTTATATGTCGTTATCATGTCTCCCTGACCCTCCTGTCCTCCAGTGTCGTCAGGCCGATTTCCCTTAATCTTTCTTCATAGGACATTCCCCTTAGCTCTGGAACTAACCTTGTCGCAAACCTTTGTACTTTCTCTAGTTTCTTGACGTGCTTTATCAAGTGCGGGTTCCAAACAGGTGCTGCATACTCCAGTATGGGCCTGACATACACGGTTGTACAGTGTCTTGAATGATTCCTTACTAAGGTATCGGAATGCTGTTCTCAGGTTTGCCAGGCGCCCATATGCTGCAGCAGTTATCTGATTGATGTGTGCTTCCGGAGACATGCTCGGTGTTATACTCACCCCAAGATCTTTCTCCTTGAGTGAGGTTTGCAGTCTTTGGCCACCTAGCCTATACTCTGTCTGTGGTCTTCTGTGCCCTTCCCCTATCTTCATGACTTTGCATTTGGCAGGATTAAATTCGAGAAGCCATTTGCTGGACCAGGTGTCCAGTCTGTCCAGGTCTCTTTGAAGTCCTGCCTGGTCCTCATCAGATTTAATTCTCCTCATTAACTTCACATCATCTGCAAACAGGGACACTTCTGAGTCTAACCCTTCCGTCATGTCGTTCACATATACCAAAAATAGCACTGGTCCTAGGACCGACCCCTGTGGGACCCCGCTCGTCACAGGTGCCCACTGTGATACATCATTACGTACCATGACTCGTTGTTGCCTCCCTGTCAGGTGTGTGTGTGTGTGTGCGTTTGTGTGTGTGTGTGTGTGTGTGTGTGTGTGTGTGTGTGTGTGTGTGTGTGTGTGTGTGTGTGTGTGTGTGTGTGTGTGTGTGTACTCATCTAATTGTACTCCCCTAATTGTGGTTGCAAGGGTCGAGACTCAGCCCCTGGCCCAGCCTCTTCACTGATCGCTACTAGGTCCTCTCTCTGCTCCCTGAGCTTTGTCATACCTCGTCTATGACGAGGTATGACAAAGCTCAGGAAGCAGAGAGACGACTCTGTGACTGAAGAAATACTTCCTAACATCCCTGTGACTCGTCTGAGTCTTCAGATTCCAACTGTGACACCTTGTTTCTGTGTCCCCTCTCTGGAACATCCTGTCTCTGTCCACCTTATCTATTCCACATAGTATTTTGTATGTCATTATCATGTTTTCCCTGACTCTCTTGTCCTCCAGTGTCGTCAGTCCGATTTCCCTCAACCTTTCATCGTAGGACATTCCCCTGAGCACCGGAACTAGCCTTATTGCAAACCTTTGTATTTTTTTTTATTCGCCGGTACTTTCCCGGCCCGGGTCTTTTCCAAGTAGTGGTGACCCGGCCTTGGCTCCCTATCTGGGGAGTATCTCGAGACCTAAGTCTCCCATGGGAGGAGGTACAAGTACACCCTCATCTTTGGGACCAAGTGTCCCCAGGCCTAGCAACAGTACCCGCCCTCACAGGGCTCGCAGGAAGAAGCTAGGCCTCTGGTCTGCCATCTGCCCCGCCCCAAAGGGGCTCGTGGGGATGGCAGTCTTATGAGCTGCAGGTGGTAGCAAGCACAGGCACCTTTGTACTTTCTCTAACTTCTTGACGTGCTTGACCAGGTGTGGGTTCCAAACTGGTGCTGCATACTGTGTGTGTGTGTGTGTGTGTGTGTGTGTGTGTGTGTGTGTGTGTGTGTGTGTGTGTGTGTGTGGAAGTGTTTAGGAGTACGTGGGAGTGATTAGAAGGATGCGTGGACCTATGGGAGTGTATGGAATTGCTGGAAGTGTGTGGGAGAGACAGCTGTATCACCAGTGCGCCTGAGTACGTGGGAGTTGCAGCTGTGTCACCATTGTGTGGGAGTGTGTCTGTATTTCTTAATTCGATGGTCTAATTGTCTGTGTGCAAGACTGTGAGAGCATAACGAGCCCCTTTCTCTCTATCTCTCTCTTTCTTTCTCTTCTCTCTCCCAGTTCATTATATTAACAAGGTACAACCTTGTAAAACTCAGGTACAGTCTTTTAACACTGCCGAACCTTCCATACAGTTCACTGATAAAAAAAAAGGTAGGAATTTCGGAAGCCTCAAAAGAGAGTGAAAACAAATTCGAAATGCTGGAGAAGAAAGTGTAATCACTGGACATCCTTTTTCTTAAAAATAAAACAGAACTAATTGTAAAAAAAAAAAACTAATATAAACGATCTTATTGCGCTTCCTCCACGACGGCGGAAAGACATAACGGAGGGTCTTGACTGGATTCTATTTGAGATCCTGTATATAACGCGCTTCCGAGAATTTTAAGAAGAGGAATGGAACACTAGTACCAGCATCCTCTCCGCATTACAAATCCCATCCCCAGCTCCCATCATGCTTCCCTCGAGACTACAGACAGACGGCCCAGAAAAATCCTGACTACTCTCGAAGAAGCCGACTCAGACAGGCGCCTTGTATTTCAACCTACAACGTTACAGATCTACTCGCCAAGGCTGTGTGAAGGAGTCGTACAGACCTGGCAATCATTACGTCTAACCTTTCAAGATATTACCAGACCTGGACACACAGGTCTAGTGGTAGTAGTGGTAGTAATAATAGTAGTAGAAATAGCAGTAATGGTAGAACTACTAGTTGTAGTGGTACTAGAAACTGTGATAAAAAAAAAATAATAATAATAATAACGGTATTAATAATATTATTATTAGTAGTAGTCGTAACAAAGTCAATAATAATAATAACAGCAACAACAAAGAAAACTAATAACATTTCCGTCAGACCCAGACTACCACACACGAGCGTCTGATATAATTGCGCTGTGCAGTGGCGGCGGCGGCAGTCACAACCTGCGCAGTCATGCATGGAATGATTCACTCGTGCATGTACCTGACAGCTTCAGCTCCCTTCCAAAGCTCTCGATCTTAGTATTTGGAGCTACGCTCTCCTTCTTCGGATCAAACCTAACGGCATCTCAGTCCTAAGGCGTTATATGACTAATAATAACAATAATAATCAAGTAATAATAATAATAATAATAATAATAATAATAATAATAATAATAATAATAATATCTGAGAGTGTATTGTGATGATCAGAAAAGGGGGAAGATATTGAACCAGGGAGTGAAGGAGAACATGAACCTTTGTAAAGGAGAGGAAGAGGAGAGACCGGAGGAAAAGAAAAGATAAGAAAGAATAGAGAGAGAAAGGGAAATATGTATTAAAAATACCTTCATCTTTTTTTTCCTGTGAAGTAAAATGTACTTGAATTAATGTAGATATTATTATTATTATTATTATTATTATTATTATTATTATTATTATTATTATTATTATTATTATTATTTTACATTATAATGTTTATAATAATAATTATTGTTATATTTTATAATTTTTATAATAATGATTAATGTATATTATAATAAACTTTAAAATTATTATTATATATTTTAATAATGTTTATGATTATTATTATTTTATATAATAATGTTTATTATTATTATTATTACTATTATTATTATTTTTATTATTATTATTATTATTATTATTATTATTATTATTATTATTATTATTATTATTATTATTATTATTATCATTATTATTATTATTATTATTATTATTATTACTTTATCTTCACCGTAAGAGCCATCAATGTTGCTAATTGTTGGTGACGTTGACGTGTCTCCCTGGCAGGTATCCCGGAGACCAAGGTGGTGCTGGAGGCCAAAGAGGAAGGAGGAGGCAGCGGCCGTCTTAGGTATACCTCTTCGTACAGGTGAGTCACCCCTCAACGTGAGCACCTGTAGTCTTGTAGCTGTCGTCTTGATCTGGTAGCTGTAGTTTTGTAGCTGTGGCCTGTAACTCTAGTCTACACCCGTGTTTGCGTGTGCCGTTCGCGAAGGTATCTGGTGATTCGCGAACGTGCAGTTTGCCGTAAGATTGATTTACTTATTCATAATGGGAAGAATGTTCGCGGTGTTCTTTCGGTTTTATTTTAGGAACGTGTGGCTTAAACAGGCCGTAAGCTTTTCCCACTCTTACACAACATTTCACATCAAATGAATTCGTAAACAGTGGCGGAGGTGAGTTAATGTGAGGTGCTCAAACACTCCCCAGCACTGATGTTCCTATTAATACAGAGTTCAGACTGTGAATATTCGTGTACACACACACACGCACACACAACATACACACACACACACACACCACACACACACACACACACACACACACACAACACACACACACACACACACACACACACACACATGCCGCCCCCCAAAACACACATAAACACATACACACACACATACATACATACACACACACACACACACACACACACATACATACATACATACACACACACACACATACGCACACACACGCACACACACACACACATACACACACACACACACACACACACATACACACACACATGCCGCCCCCAAAACACACAGAAAACACACACACACACACATACACACACACATACATACACACACACACATGCCGCCCCAAAACACACAGAAACACACACACACACACACACACACACACACACACACACATTACACTCACACACACACACACACACACACACACACACATACACTCACACACACACACACACATACACACACACACACACACACACACACGCACACACACACCACACACACACATATTGAGTATGCGGCACAGTTTGGAACCCACACCTAGCCAAGCACGTGAAGAAACTAGAGAAAGTGCAAAGGTTTGCAACAAGACTAGTCCCAGAGCTAAGAGGTATGTCCTACGAGGAGAGGTTAAGGGAAAATCAACCTGACGACACTGGAGGACAGAGAGATAGGGGGACATGATAACAACATACAAAATACTGAGAGGAATTGACAAGGTGGACAAAGACAGGATGTTCCAGAGATTGGACACAGTAACAAGGGGACACAGTTGGAAGCTGAAGACACAGATGAATCACAGGGATGTTAGGAAGTATTTCTTCAGCCACAAGAGTAGTCAGTAAGTGGAATAGTTTGGGAAGCGATGTAGTGGAGGCAGGATCCATACATAGCTTTAAGCAGAGGTATGATAAAGCTCACGGCTCAGGGAGAGTGACCTAGTAGCGATCAGTGAAGAGGCGGGGCCAGGAGCTCGGACTCGACCCCCGCAACCTCAACTAGGTGAGTACAACTAGGTGAGTACACACACACACACACACACACACACACACACACACACACATGCCGCCCCCCAAAACACACATAAACACATACACACACACATACATACATACACACACACACACACACACACACACACACACACACACACACACACCACACACACACACACACACACACACACACACACACACACACACACAAACTAAGTGCACCAGAGAATGGAAAAGATACAGGAGGCAAAGGACCCAGGAAAATAAGAAGATTAGTAGAAGAGCCAGAAACGAGTATGCACAGATAAGGAAGGAGGCCCAGCGACAGTACGAGAACGACATAGCATCGAAAGTCAAGTCTGACCCGAAACTGCTGTATAGCCGCATTAGGAGGAAGACAACAGTCAAAGACCAGGTGATCAGGCTGAGGAAAGAAGGTGGAGAACTCACAAGAAACGATCAAGAGGTATGTGAGGAGCTCAACATGAGATTTAAGGAAGTATTTAGAGTGGAGACAGGAAGGCATCTCGAGGGACAGACCAGATGGGGACACCAGCAAGGGATATACCAACAAGTGTTGGATGACAAACATACAGATGAGGAGGAGGCGAAGAAACTGCTAAGGGACATCGATACCTCAAAGGCAATGGGACCGCACATCTCCCCATGGGTCCTTAGAGAGGGAACGGATATGTTGTGTGTGCCACTTACCACAATCTTCAACACGTCCCTGGAAACTGGGCAACTACCTGATGTATGGAAAACATCAAACGTAGTTCCCATTTTTTAAAAAAGCAGACAGAAAAGAGGCACTAAACTATAGACCTGTGTCACTGACGTGTATAGTATGCAAAGTTATGGAGAACATCATCAGGAGAAGAGTGGTGGAGCACCTGGAACGGAACAAGAGTATAAACGCCAACCAGCATGGATTCATTGAAGGAAAATCCTGTGTCACTAACCTTCTGGAGTTTTATGATAAAGTAACAGAAGTAAGACATGAGAGAGAGGGGTGGGTTGATTGCATCTTCTTGGACTGCAAGAAGGCCTTTGACACCGTTTCTCACAGGAGATTAGTGCAGAAGCTAGAGGATCAGGCTCATATAACAGGAAGGGCACTGCAACGGATCAGAGAATACCTGACAGGGAGGCAACAACGAGTCATGGTACGTAATGATGTATCACAATGGGCACCTGTGACGAGCGGGGTCCCACAGGGGTCAGTCCTAGGACCAGTGCTATTTTTGGTATATGTGAACGACATGATGGAAGAGTTAGATTCAGAAGTGTCCCTGTTCGCAGACGATGTGAAGTTAATGAGGAGAATTAAATCAGATAAGGACCGGGCAGGACTTCAAAGAGACCTGGACAGACTGAACACCTGGTCCAGCAACTGGCTTCTCGAATTTAATCCCGCCAAAAGCAAAGTCATGAAGATAGGGGAAGGGAAAAGAAGACCGCAGACAGAGTATTGGCTAGGTGGCCAAAGACTGCAAACCTCGCTCAAGGAGAAAGATCTTGGAGTGAGTATAACACCGAGCCTGTCTCCGGAAGCACACATCAACCAGGTAACTGCTGCAGCATATGGGCGCCTTGCAAACCTGAGAGCAGCGTTCCGATACCTTAATAAGGAATCGTTCAAGACACTGTACACCGTGTACGTCAGGCCCATACTGGAGTATGCAGCACCTGTTTGGAACCCGCACTTGATAAAGCACGTTAAGAAACTAGAGAAAGTGCAAAGGTTTGCGACAAGGTTAGTTCCAGAGCTAAGGGGAATGTCTTATGAAGAAAGGTTAAGGGAAATCGGCCTGACGACACTAGAGGACAGGAGGGTCAGGGGAGACATGATAACGACATATAAAATATTGCGCGGAATAGACAAGGTGCACAAAGACAGGATGTTCCAGGGAGGGGACACAGAAACAAGAGGCCACAATTGGAAGTTGAAGACACAGATGAGTCAGAGAGATATTAGGAAGTATTTCTTCAGTCATAGAGTTGTCAGGCAGTGGAATAGCCTAGAAAGTGATATAGTGGAGGCAGGAACCATACATAGTTTTAAGACAAGGTATGATAAAGCTCATGGAGCGGGGAGAGAGAGGACCCAGTAGCAACCGGTGAAGAGGCGGGGCCAGGAGCTAGGACTCGACCCCTGCAACCACAAATAGGTGAGTACAAATAGGTGAGTACACACACACACACACACACACACACACACACACACACACACACACACACACACACACACACACACACACACACACACACACACACACACACACACACACACTCACACACACACACACACATAAACACACACACACACACACACACACACACACACACACACACACACACACACACACAAAAAACACTCACACACACACATACACACACACACACATACACACACACATACACTCACAAACACACACACACACACACACACACACATGAACACACACACACACACATAAACACACACACACACACAAAACACACACACACATATACACACACATGCACACACACTCACTCACACACACTCGCACACACACACTCACACACACACACACTCAAACACACACACACACACACACACACACACACATACAAAGGGATCTGGACAGGCTGCAGAACTGGTCCAGCAATTGGCTCCTGGAGTTCAATCCCACCAAGTGCAAAGTCATGAAGATTGGGGAAGGGCAAAGAAGGCCGCAGACGGAGTACAGTCTAGGGGGTCAGAGACTACAAACCTCACTCAAGGAAAAAGATCTTGGGGTGAGTATAACACCAGGCACATCTCCTGAAGCGCACATCAACCAAATAACTGCTGCAGCATATGGGCGCCTAGCAAACCTCAGAACAGCATTCCGACATCTAATAAGGAATCGTTCAGGACCCTGTACACCGTATACGTTAGGCCCATATTGGAGTATGCGGCACCAGTTTGGAACCCACACCTAGCCAAGCACGTAAAGAAACTAGAGAAAGTGCAAAGGTTTGCAACAAGACTAGTCCCAGAGCTAAGAGGTATGTCCTACGAGGAGAGGTTAAGGAAATCAACCTGACGACACTGGAGGACAGGAGAGATAGGGGGGACATGATAACGACATACAAAATACTGAGAGGAATTGACAAGGTGGACAAAAACAGGATGTTCCAGAGATTGGACACAGTAACAAGGGGACACAGTTGGAAGCTAAAGACACAGATGAATCACAGGGATGTTAGGAAGTATTTCTTCAGCCACAGAGTAGTCAGTAAGTGGAATAGTTTGGGAAGCGATGTAGTGGAGGCAGGATCCATACATAGCTTTAAGCAGAGGTACGATAAAGCTCACGGCTCAGGGAGAGTGACCTAGTAGCGATCAGTGAAGAGGCGGGGCCAGGAGCTCGGACTCGACCCCCGCAACCTCAACTAGGTGAGTACAACTAGGTGAGTACACACACACACACACACATACAACACACACACACACACACACATACACACACACACACACATACACTCACACACACACACACACACACTCACACACACACACACACACACACACACACACACACACACACACACACACACACACACACACA